CCCTCCCTTCCACTCTCTCTAAAAATCAATGGAAAAAATATCCTCAGGTGAGGGTTTAAAAAAAAAGAGAGAGAGAAATGAAGTTATGCATTGACCAGGCGGCTCAGTTGGTTGAGTTTCATCCTGTGCACTGAAGGGTCACCAGTTCAATTCCTCATCAGGGCACATGCCCATGTTGTGGGGTTGTCAATCCCCAGTCAGGGTGCATACAGGCGGCAACTGATTGATGTTTTTCTGTCACATCGATGTTTCTCTCCCTAGCCATCCTCTCTCTCTAAAAATCAATTTAAAAAAAAAGCATATCCTTGGGTGAGGATTTTTAAAAGAAGGAAGCTAGAAAGGAATAAGGTTGAGTCAGGCACATATTGAAGTATTTCCTTAGCTAACATTTTAAAATATCCCTTGGTCATGTGGGAGCTAGTTCTTAACTACCTAGACCAGGAATACAAATTCCTATAGAAAATCTGCCTTTTCAAAATAAGATAGATTTACAAAAATTGTCTCACCTCTTTCTCTCCATCATTGCTTGCTTTTTCTATTTTTCTCTCCAATTCCCATCCCCTAACTCTCCCAGGTTCTTATTGCCAACAATGGCATTGCAGCAGTGAAATGCATGCGGTCTATCCGTCGGTGGTCCTACGAGATGTTTCGAAATGAACGTGCAATCCGATTTGTTGTCATGGTCACACCTGAAGACCTTAAAGCCAATGCAGGTGAGTTATTTGCATTAAGAAAGCATCACTCTAGAGCAGCCGTGGGCAAGGATCCGGCCCTTTTGAAATGAATAAAACTAAAAAAAAAAAAACCGTACCCTTTTTTTTAATGATGTTTACTTTGAATTTATATTAGTTCACACAAACACTCCATCCATGCTTTTGTTCCGGCCCTCCGGTCCAGTTTAAGAACCCATTGTGGCCCTCAAGTCAAAAAGTTTGCCCACCCCTGGTCTAGGCTGAAATCACGCAAAACAGTAAAATAATCAATGGGGAAATGCTGGAAACCAAGATCAACAGTAATTAAGATAAATGTGAGGAGTCTGGCAGAAGGCTAGCCGGTACTCCTTTTGATATTCATAGGGTGAATATTTACATTTTATACTTGCTGCTGACTCAATGGCCTAAAGCAAACTCCCCCAAAACCTGACAATCTTACTGTTTACTAAACATTACCATTGATATGTCTGTTTGCATTTCTAAAAGGCAATTGTGTATTCTAGTAAATAAAAGCAGCTGGGAACAGAGACTCAGGAGAACTTGACTGCTATGGTTGAGTTTTCCT